ACAACCATGAGGGGAATGGCTAATTAAATAATAGTAATCCTTGATATTGCTTATCATGTTGTCGAGGTGTCTCAAAACGCTTCATAGGATACACTGTAAAATGGACTGACTGTGTAATTTGTGGACGAAACACGGCAGCCAGTTTGCGCACACCCACAAACAGCCATGTGAGTGAGTGACCAATTTTATTTGGAGGATGGGTGTTCCTGGCTAGACAAGCAGTGGGAAAGATTGCCAGACAGTGCATTCAATAGCAAGCGATGTGTTTTTCGCTGGTTAGACTCTAGCAGTTCTCCAAAGCACACTCTGGGGTCCTGAAACTTTGACTATTGCCAACCTGTGGAATTTGGTAAGCAGAATACATCCCTCCAGGGAGATGATGCACATTCCATTCTAATAATAAAAGCGCTATGTCAAATGCAAGGATTATTATTATCATATTATTATAATAAATATCCCTGGAATTGCCATGAATAGGTGGGATGCATGGAACTCTGCTTTGTTTGGATACTTTTAAGCATGGTGATGTTTTTCTGCATGTGTCAGACCCAAGCTGACCAAAAATAAGCACCCATTAACAGTGTCTCTGAGCACACTGTCAAGTGTCAAATGAGGACCCCCTCCAATCGGGTTTCCGTGCTGCACACAGCACAGAGGCAGCCCCGGTCAAAGTGACAAATGACATTCTGTCCATCTGTGACCAGGGCTCCCTCTGCCTCCTCATCCTCCTTGACTTCGCTGCTGCTTCGACACCGTTGACCACTCTATCCTCATCCACCGCTTCTCCTCTCACCTCAACCTTCACGGCTCTGTCCTTGATTGGTTCAGATCATACCTCTCACACCGCCTCCACTTCATCTCCACAACGGTTTTTCCTCTAGCCCCCACACCGTCTTGTGCGGCGTTCCTCAGGGCTCCCCTCCTCTTCAATACCTAGATGCTCCCTCTTGGTGATATCATCCACAGACATGGGGTCAACTTCCACATGTATGCGGATGACACCCAACTCTACCTCTCTGCCTCCACCCTTGACTCCAGGACCACTGCTGTCCTGACAGAATGTCTGTCGGACCTCAAGCCCTGGATGAGAGCTAACTTTCTTCAGTTGAACATCCACAAGACCGAGGCTCTCCTGATTGGCTCCCGTCAGCGCCTCCTCACCTCAGGCACTGACAGCATCGCTATTCATGGACGCACTCTCCACCTCACAGAGCCGGTAAGGAACCTGTGTGACCTGTTTGACGCCCAATCTTTTTGTTCAGCCGGGAGTGTGACACATGTGGAACCTTGACATCTTGTTTGACCCTCAACTATCCTTTCTCCCCTACATCTGCACCATGACTCGCTCTGCCTTCCCCCACCTCCGCAACATCACCGGGCTCCGCCACTGTCTCACACCACAAGCCTCCAAAACCCTCATACACGCTTTCATTACATCGAGGCTGGACGATGCAAACTCATTGCTTGTCAGCCTCGCCAACTCCTCCCTCCACAGACTTCAGATCATCCAGAACTCTGCAGCCTGTGGCCTCTCCTGCACCAGGCTCTGCAACCCTATCACCTCCATCCTCACCCGACTCCACTGGCTTCCCATCACATAGAGGATACAGTTCAAGATTCTGGTCCTCACCTTCACAGCCCTCCATGGTCTGCTCCTCCCTATCTCTGTGACCTCCTAACCCCCTACCATCCTGCTTGCTCCCTCCGCTCAGTGGGCTCCGACATGCTTCACATCCCCTGCCTCGCTCTCCCCACTGTTGGCGGGCGGGCCTTCTGCCACTCTGCCCCCACCCTCTGGAACCCATCCCACAGTCCCTCCACCTCGCCCCCTCCCTTGCCACCTTCAAGACCCACCTCAAGACCCTCCTCTTCGACTGTGCTTTCAATCTTCCTTCTTCCCCCTATGCCCTCCACCCTGCCCGACCCCGACCCCGACCCCCAGTTTGGGTCCGAAACTCTTGTCAGTCCACCGCCTTGGGACGTCCTTCCGACGTCAAAGGCGCTATACAAATGTAATTTTGTTGTTATTGTTTTCTTAATTTGGAAGAGAGCCCATCTCTGCCATTTATTGTTGAATTTATATTAGAAAACACTCAGGGGTGAGATTGCTGACATTTTTGCTTTTCCTAAGAAGCTGTGAAACAAAATCCCAGTTTGTGAACTGTCCATTCCAGGAGGATCGGGGTTTGTGCATTGTATCTACGGGTAAATACAGAGCAGCCATGTGGGCTTGAGAGGGGTGACCTTAAGGACAGCTAAAAGCATTAATATTTTCTTTGAAAGTGAGTAGGTCACAGAGGACATTGTAAGAGCTGAAACCAGACAAATATGATAAATTATGACTTGGTCTAAATTTGCTAAATCAGATTTGTGTATGTAATTAAATCTACTCTTGGTTTGCAAATGTCATAGTAAAGGTCACTAATTGACAATTTCCAGTTTGATGTTGACTCGTGTAGCCAATCCTTTTACATCCGAGTCCAATGTTGTGTACATTTTTGTAGACTCAGTCCTATTCCATTCATTGTATTTTTGAGCTGTGTGTACTACAAGTTCAGAAAACCAATTACCAATTAAAATTGTATATTTTATTATCTGAATCATAAAAATACAAGAATTTTATTAAATAACATTTACATACATTTTCCAACAGCTGACTAAAGGGCGTGTCTTGGTGCTTCATGTATAATTAATATAATATAATGAGGACTGAAATGATCAAAAATGACTGAAAACTAATGTCAATTATAAAGAAAACATTAGTGATTTGTCCTGTCATGTTGGTTGTAACTTAGTATCTTTGCAGTCTTCTGGTTTGTTGTATTTCAGGTTCCCTGCCCTTCAAGCTGTGCATGTTTTTTGACACAATAGCATTAGTGTCTTCACAAACACAACTGAAGTTATATAACATGAACACAGCATTTATAATGGGATTGACCTAAGCAGGGCAGATTGAATGCAGAAACTGTTTAAAAAGGCTTGTGCAAACAAATCAATGTAATAACTAATGACAAGTGATTTAAAAAAAATACTGAAACAACACTATTGGGTCTACTTTGCATTACTTAATGGGATTCCCAAATAAGGAATCAGAATCACACGAATGGGGACAACGTGATTTAGTTCTATAATGGAGTTCTTGTGGGTCAACGGGAATCCTAACAGGATTAATTATTGAGGAATTCCATTAAGAATGACCACAAAGTAGACCGCCTGTATAGAAACACACATATGTACATAGACTTTTTTTTTCCATTTCAAGTTTCACATAATAGGCACTCATTAAAACACAATTCAGATGATTTGTCTATAAATATTAAAAATTGCCACGTTCAACACAAGTACCGTTAGTGAATAGTGCATTGAAGATGAGAAGTCAAGTTAAAAAAACAAATGCATGAGTTTGATCCCATCAATGTGCTGGACCAAATCTTCCCTGTTGCCATGCTGCATGTTGCAGAAGGTAGTCATTTGGTACGACACTAGTGAATGTTACTTTACTTGATCATGAGGGATTATTCTACCAAAGGTTCATTCAGGAAACTCCCGAATGGGCTGGCAGCCCCATGATAACATTTAAAATGATCAATACAAAAATATTTTTTCTCTCTCCGATTCTAAGAGTTTCAGCATTTATCAATTAATCAATCGTGGCTCTGTGAAGATTATTATTTGTTATAAATTTGTTTCACATGGTTTTTAACTGGAAACATTTAAATCAACAAATGAGGATACTTACAATTAAGAGCCACTTATCGCATCAAAACAACCTAAAGCACATCACAGATAATTACTATCAAGTGCAGCAGTTGTTTTTGAAAGCAAACACGGCAGTTTTCTGGTTTGCATGAAACCATAAACAGCCTTGTGCTAAATGATAAAGCAATCTGGAGGATTGCTGGACAGGAAACAGGATGAAATGCCATTCTAATTTTGAATAGTGTCGTGGGATCTTTAACTTCCACCTGAGAGGGTGGCACTTCTGACAAAGCAGCATTTCTCCAGCACTGCACTGGAGAGTCAGCCTAGACTTGACATGAGTCTTAAACCTACAGCATTCTGATCCAGAGGTGAAAGTGCAACCAGCCAAGCCAGACTATGAAGTGAAAACTTCACATTTCCTATTGTACAGGTCAATGCACGTCTGACTGGTGTAACTAACACATCTTGTTAACATATTGCCTTCCTGGGGTCTAATTGGTGATATTTCCAAACCAGATGTATTGCTTTAATTGCAATGTGTGGTTTGCGACACAGCAATGGTGAATCCAAAGTCTGAAAAATCCCCAGCCAGCAAAGCCTAAGTGAGAATTTTGCAAAGCAGAGTCAATGAGGATTCAAACTGGATTTATTGCAATTAATGCAGTAAATATGGTTTGTGAATATCACAAGTTAGACACCAGGTCTTCATTCCTACTCTAGCAATTTGCTGAGTTGGAGCAGCTTTGGTGTGGCATTTACCTAGAAGACTACATGCTTGTCGCTGGGACCCACAAATATTGCATAAAGACCTCATGACACATGAGTGAGAGAATTGTGCAGGTCATTCACTAAAACATTTCTTTTTCTAAATTTCATTTCCCTAAAACTGAGTACTGTAAATTGACTCCCATTTCACACTGAAAAATATACCCAACATCCACACGAACATACATTGCGAGCGAGTGTCTACTTTATACAAATAGTTATGGTACTTGAGTTATGCCACATCTATCAAATATGCCCCATTTTCGTGAGTTTTCTTTGAATTTGAAAAGTGGGGGAAGGACGAAATTGGAAGACTCTTGTACATCACGCTCCTTAGTTCTGTGTTGTACTGGTTAGCAGCTTTGTGTGACGCAGGCAACTGTGAACTGTGCAACTTATTGGGATCAGTAGTTACAAGTGCAGTGCACTTTGAGATAGCAAATTTCAAGACAAGGTCAAATCTAGTTCCTTCTTCCTCTTCCTACCTACTCCCTCCCTCCCCCCCCCCCCCCCCACTTCTATATCCAGCAGCTTTGGGCTAGATCATGCGGTCTATTCTACCATCAAACCACGTAAGCTCAACAGTTTATCATGTCCCTGTTCACTCAACTCCGCTTATAAGTTCAGGCACAGCATAAGAAAGAATCATAGCCTCAGGCACAGCATTCATACAGCTTCAGGCACAGCATTCAAAGACACATTGAATGCAAACATTTGGAATTTCAAAATTTCCAGGCCTGCCTAATAAACCCTGCTTCTCAACAGAAGAATGACTTAGGCACTTGGGCTTGATCTATCACACGAAGGCCTCAAGAATCCCTGCTGCATTGATCAACTTTCTATCGCAAAGTTTTCATTCAGAGATCAGGAAAATATTCATTCAATTTTGCCCAGATGAAATCTGGATTCGCTTGATAACAAATAAATGTGCTTAGTAAGTTATTTCTGTTTGTTCAGATGAATCCTTGTGCCTTTCTGGACCATCGGCTTTGGAGCCAACTGTTCAGAACTCCTTGGATTTGCCAGCAAGCTCGAGGTGTTGTCCAAAAGCACGCTTTCATTTGAAGCTCCCAAGCTCTTGTGTGTATTACTCGTCTCTTCTGTGCACGTACTTTCCATAGTGGCACTGCCAAGAGGATTTTGCACCACTGGGATCTCTTCTATAGACTCCAGGCTTTCTCGGTGAGGCTCCTTCAAGTGTTTGTGATCAATCTGTAGCGTTCCATCAGACTTGTCCTGTGGTTCTGGATTGGACTGAGCTGTTTGACAAGAAGTGAGATATGAGCACATACAAGAGACCAAAAATAATGCAAATCCACTCGTATCGGCACAGAAAAAAATGCCCATTCATGATGTTGGGCTTTTTTTTAAATAAAGACAAATCTGAAGCGCTTTGTAAATTCTAAATAGCACTGGATGGTTCAAATACTTGCTTTATTTGTTTTATTCTTACCAGTAGATGTCTTCTCAGATACAAATTTAGTTTCGTCGATGTTACTGTCCTCTTGTAAACCATTTCTGGGTCGCTTATTTGGTTCCTAGCATTAAATTATTTTAATTTTAGAAGTCACAGAAAACAGCTTCAATATTAATGCTGCACTTTAAACAAGATAATAATAATCAGCTCTTTAATGACACAAATATGAATGTTTAAATAGATTAAAACAATAATAATCGTTGCATTTAATATAGCGCCTTATCACATTGTTGAGACATATCAAAGTGCTTCACAGAATATATTGTAAATATATTGTGGACAAAATGCAGCAGCCAATTGCGCACAGCAGTATCCCATAAACAATTGTGGACTGAATGACCAAATTTATTTATTTTTTTGGAGGGATTATTACCCTCAGAAAGCAATCTGCCAATTGAATAACAAAATACTTATTGCTGGGTAAACAGAGGCGTGTGGAGTAAGGAAACTTGCCTAAGGTTTCGTCCTGCCCAGGAATCGAACCCAGGTCCTCTTGCTTGCGAGGCGAGTGCTCTAACCAATATGCTACAGGATGAGTGCTACAAAATGTGCAACAACATAGCTTAAAAATACCTGCTGACTGTGAGAGGGGATTGCGGATGTAGAAACACTGAAGGTCTCTTGGCAGATCCCATTTGATGTTCTATTGGTGAATTGTTCCTGGTCTTGGTATTTGGAAGCACTGGGAAGAAAATACAAGCAAACATCTCCTGAGGCACAGACTTTTCAAACAATAGTGCAATTAAAGCTATTGACCGAGTGCACGGACAAGCAGGGCGATTGTCTGTGTGTTAGTTGGCATGAAGTTGATACTGTTCAGTTGCTCAGCCCTTCAGCCTGTCTGATGTAATTCAGTTTGCCAACATTAGATGGCACTAATACGCTAATAAAGAGAATTGTTGTCAACGAGATCGCCCACAATTATGCTCCTGTTTACACACCACAAAAAGGTTGATAAAAAAATAGTGAACTGAGACGTATTTTTGCCCAAACTTTCTTCAACCATTTTACTTTGCAAACCACAGCTTGATTTGCGTTCATATTGCAACTGTATTGTAATGAAATATATCAACTGTAAAGAAACGGTTTTATAATGGGACTGCGCTGTAGTGGAGTATAATGCCTGGTATTCCCAGCCACAGATCTCCTCGGACCTGACTCCGAGTTGGTTCCCTCACTCACTCACTCTACGTACATCAGATCAGAATTGATCATGTGAAGTCGGAGGGAGAGGAGTGGGCCCAGCGATATTCCTCCTTTCCACGGACTCCCTGATGTCATCCCAGAAGCACAGTTATGACGTCAGGATTACGCATGCAGGAGGCGCCATTAGATTGGTGTTTTGTGATCTCTGTGGTACCAAGAGCTGGCTCCAGGAGAGGTTCTCATTGATTTCCTCTCTCAGTTTATGGGGAAGGGCTTTGCCTTCACTTGGAACATCACTGATGGTTCAGATATGATTGGGAGCCGAGAGATAGTTATCGATTTGAATCTTTTGAATAAAGTTAGCGTAGCACAGTAACATGCTGGATGGACAGGTTATTCAAAGTATTCAAAAAGCTAGTGTTAAATTTACAAATAGTTATTTAGCAAAAAACGTGACAATCCCTTCCCATAAAGAACTTCATACCCACTTCATTGATTTCCCATCATGACCTTCAACATCAAAATCACCTAAATCTGTTCTGCTCCCTATTTTTTCCTGCGCAATAAGAATAGGTTAAATGGTTAGAAGTTTTGCTTATAGCCCAAAGATCCAATGATCAGGGACTATCCTTCATTCCCTTCTATGAAGCTATTCTACTAGATAGGGTGAACAAAATAAATTTCGCAATACGGCACTCAATAACAGGAACATCAGAACATGGGGAGTGAGGAACAGTAATAAAAATAATCTTTGCATTTGATATAGCGCCTTATCATGTCTTCGAGACGTCTCGAAGTGTTTCACAGAATATACTGTAAAGGGAATTGACTGTATATTTTGTGGGTGAAACATATATACACACACACGACAAGAGATCAAGCAGTATTAACCTACTTTCCAATTGATGAGTTTGCATCTACTCTGTGTGGAACTGGCACGACGTGTGGCGCTCTAGCAGTTGCTTACTTTATGCATGATCTACATTTGCAACCACTCTCCGGAAAGAAATCATGGGTGTTACACTCACTGTGAAATTTGGTATGCAAGCCACAATTTAATGCACAGTTGCATATCTGGAAAGGGCATCAACTTGGGTCCCACATTTCATAATGGTTTACACAGATATGTAAAGTGGCTCAACTCAGCCTGAATTTATAAAATATACATAATAACAGCCGCACTCGTAAAATGGTAATGCGATGCTACCACATTTCCTGTTTAAAAAGAAAACTCCTCTGGTGTATGAAACCAGTTGGAGATGGTGGGATGGGGCGGAGGAAAGACCCAGTCCAGCAAGGTGTAAAAACAATGCCGATACCACCATTTATCAGCTTTTTCACCGCCGGTATTTTTCAGTGCCGAAGACTGCCAGGACAGGCATTGTAATTGTTTGAATCCCGCGAACAGAAGATAGTGAATAAGTTATCTTCTACTCGCGGGATTCAAACCAGGTCGAAGTTGATATCTCTGGCCACTGAAGGCCAGCAAGGACGGTGAGCATGTTAGGAGAATGGCCAGCAGGAGTGTGGGCCATGGAAACTTTTCNAAAAAAATTTGGCTTCAGGCTTGGTCCAGCTAGATCCAACTTCCAGATTTTAATAATAATAATAATCCTTGCATTTTATACAGCATTTTCACATCTTCTCGACGTCTCAAAGCGCTTCACAGAATAGACTGTAAAGTGAATTGACTGTATATTTGTGGGTGAATGCGGTAGCCAATTGCGCACAGCAGTGTCCCACAAACAGTCGTGAATTGAAAATGACCAATTTATTATTCTTTTGTTTTGAAGGGATTATTATTAGGCGTTAGCCATCAGATACCCATTCCGTGATATGAACTTATTATTTCAATTTTTTTGGGTGTTTTAGGATGGACGCAGAAAGGAAGAAGTCGCATGGTAAATCCCATACTATATTGTCACACTGTAGTGGCTGTGCTTAACAATTTCTAATAAAAATAATACCTGATGTATCACGTTTTACATTGGGAGGACATTTCAAAGCACTTCACCAGACTTATTAGAGTGTAGTGATTATGTATTTTAGTAAGTGAATGCAACAGCCAATTTTGCACGTAACAATGTACCACAAACAGCCAGGAAATGAAAGGCCTCATTTTATCTGGAGGATTGTTGGTCAGGATGACATCTTCCACTTTTCAAATAGTACAAAGGGATCTTTAACCAACTACTAGAGCAGGCAGATGGGACTTCAGTTTAATGTCTTAATCAAAGGACGGCATCGGTATGTCAACCTAGACTATGTCTAAACATGGGGGTTGAACCCACAATATTTTAATTTAGAGTGCTACCAACTGAGCCAGGCTGCCAACTTCAATTTCATTGCAATTCACATTTACAATCTAACTTGCCCCTTCCCTATATTACATTTGTATCTGATTTCAGTCTCAGTCTTCAGTTTAATATCAATCTTCAATTAGAGCCTGACCAACCCTGCTTTTGGTAAATTAAATCAAATGTGGTCAAGTCCAAATAATTTCTACCTGCCAATTGGTCAGTAACTTTTTATAACCCTTATCCCGGGATGAGCACAATCATACACGAGACATCGCATTTAATGACATCTCAACATTGAGCGTACAACTCATCTGTTCACTGTACAAATGAAATAAAATGACTCTTGGTGATTTTTGTTAATCTATTAGTTGTTTAAGCGTGAGGGAATTAAACATAGAGGTGTTGCACCACAAGTGACGTTAAACTGTATCCGAGTTGTGGGTAATGCCCATTGTGACAGAAGCTTTGACAACGAAGAAGTAAGTGGAGGATGTTGAATGAGCAAATATGTTGCATGTTCTCAAATAGCTTACCTTGACCTGGAGGCTGTTGTGGTAAGTTCTGAATCTAGCTGAGTCTTTGCTGTGGGCTTATCCTGCAAAGAACATAACACATCACATCACACATTACCTGGGTACCTCAGGAGCAGGAGCCACAGCCTAGTGGGACTTTGCAGGTTACTCAAGGTGAATTCTTGGATGGTGTTATAATAAAAGCATCTCAAAGAGCATCACCAGGTTTACTGTAGAGTGGATTGACTTTGCATTTTGTGGATGAAATGCCGCAGCCAGTTGTGCATAGCAATTTTCCACAAACAGCCATAAAGCGAGTGACCAATTTTATCCAGGGGATTTGTTGGCGAGAACATGGTACCCAGTATACAGAAATGGGGAAATCTTTAAGTCGGACCTCGGGGCATTCCCACCCGGATTTTCGATTTCTTTGACAGATACTATCCTAAGAATTACTTTTCGAAGTAAACATTTAAAATTTATAGCCTATTCTAGAGGGCACAGGTGGAAAAAAAATTAGTTACCTCAAGAAATAAAAAAATGGCTCCATTCTGAAAAGCCTGGAGAGAGAAACCATTGGGGTATCAGGCCCCAAAACTATTCTTTTAAAAACCAAATCTCTGTACTGTTCTTTAATTTATGTCAACAATAATACAGGGATAGAAAGTATTTGTAAATACTGAAATGTTGATCCACTCTTTGAATCATCCTCACATTTATGGGACAGGACTAAAGTCCGGCTTGAACTACTGCGGACGCTCTATTCTGATAAAACACTAACCCAATCTGAGTATAAAGCAATGCCATTATCATGTATCTCACGAGAGGTCACTTAGAACATGCGTGCCCTGTGGGCCAGTAGCTCCCATTAGTACTCTCCAGTGTGGATTGGCCAGATGGCTGCTCTCGCAATTGCCTCTAGTGCTGGAAATGCTGATAATGGTCACAGCAGACCAGTCTGCTTCCTGCGCTGCATCAGGTTGTGCCAGAAGTGAAGTCAATGGCAACCTATTGTTCCGGGCTAGCAGCCATTCTTTTTATCCAGACCCTTCCTAATGGGGTGTCAAGGTTTTGGATCCAAAGCACTACGTTATCCCAGTGTTTGGGAATATGCTCAAATGCTCAAGACACTCTATAGGTTCGGGTAATGTTGATAGACAACCTGCAGCATTGGATATAAAACACAGAACGCAGGCTCTCTGCAAAGAGGTAAAAATTAAACTGCAACTGGACAAAACCTAGGAAGCAGAGCTCTGGGAAATGAAAGGCTGTACCTGTGCAGAGGTCATTCTGGCAGCAGCAGTGCGTGCTGACTCGGGATCGTTCCCATGGTCTCGCACATTCTGACTGTGGCGTTCTCGCACTATGTACTCATATGTACTCAATTTCTTGAACACTGTGGAAACACACATATTTCACTTACTCTTATTTCCGTAAATGTATCTACTGATGTACTCTCTCTCTATACTAATAATAATCCTTCTATTTGCTGTAGAGCTTTATCACATATACATATATATTAAAAAAAGCAACCGTTTCTTTCTGTAGCTTATGTGAGATGTTAACATTACAATAAATTGTACTAGATGTAGGACTTAGTACAAACGAGGATTGTACCCCTCCTTTCCCTAAGTTTTTTTCACTTTCTGATTCCTCTGTTTCTAGGCTATGAAGCTCCCATAGCCAAGAGGAGAACATTGTGCTGATCTTAGACAACAACAACAAATTGCGCCTTTTACAACAGGAGGATCTCCCAAGGCACTGGGCTAGGCACTAGATAAGTGGAGTCCTGTAGCTCAGTGGTTGGAGCACTCGTTTTGCAAGTGAGAGACCTGAGTTCAATTCCAGGCAGAGGGCGAAACCTTGGGCAAGTTTCCTTACTCCACACAGAGCCTAATAATAATCCCTCCAAAAACCAAAACAATAATAAATTGGCCATTTTCAATCTACGACTGTTTGTGGGACATTGCTGTGCGCAATTGGCTGTCGCGTTCGCCCACAAATATACAGTCAATTCACTTTACAGTGTGTTCTGTGAAGCGCTTTGGGACGTCCTCCCGACATGAAAAGCGCTATATCAAATGCAAGGATTATTATTATTATTAAAGGTATACAAAGCAGTGAATAAAAACAGGTACATTTGATTCAGCCTCTGTCTTGACCCTCAATGGGAGGTGTGGATCCCTGTTTGGTGTCTCTGAGCAGAATAAGTTGAACTTGTGAACCTTCACTATGCACACGTCAGCACTCCAATGTGCAGCACTCATGCATCATTCAATGGGTGAGTGTTTTGCAGGAGTTTAAGGTGAGGATTATTAGTGGAAGAGGTATTAAAGGGGAGGTTAGAAGAATGCTTAGATTCTTTGGGCAGAAGGTTAGAATTCTGAATGCTCCATCAGTGGAGGAGTTAACACCAGCATATACTTGCACCAGTACCCACGCCTCCCACCTTCAGCCTATTCTGTTTGCACAGAAACTAAATTGAACCATTCCCCTCCACCAATAAATGATGCAAGGAATTGAAACGAGGCCAGTAAAAAGGCTCTGGCCCATCATTGCACTCACACAGATAAACGTGAAATCCCAGCAGATGGCCGAGTAACAGGAGCGAAGCAATACCCAGGAGAAAGGTGACACCCGCAATGACCAGAATTCCAACCTTTGACGTCTCAATGGGTGCAACAGGCAAGAAGGCTAGCCAAGTGTTATTTCCTTGTAGATCTAGGGAAACAAACAGTCAGTGATTATAGGAATAATACAATACACTGGATGACAACATTTGAACAGCAGCTCACTACTGATCACCCTGCCCATTCTAAACAGTTTAGAAAGTGCTGGTGCCGAGTGCAGTAACAGAGCCGGAATGATTGCATGAGAGCTGGGCGGTGCAATGGGTTGAAACACTATCCTAGTACCTTTGGGTCATTTGTAAGAATGCAGCCTAAGGATATGCCAAAAAGAGTTTTCTTTCCCTCTGTCCAATTCAGGCTTGCTTTTAAATCAGATGCCTCTGCCTGTGTGCTGCCTGAGTTGCACACACCATGTAAGGACGTTGGCACATAGTGAAAAACAGCCAGTGTGAATTTTCAATTTGACTTGATTATTGGAATCAAACCTGCCAACCTCCTGGACTGCGTTCATTACTCTGTTTGCAGGGAATAACAAAGATGTGGAATAGATGACCAAGGGAAGGGTGGAAACATGTTGTATCAAAAAAATTCAAGAAGGAACTAGGAAGATTTTTAGCAAAGGATTCAGCTGAGATTATAAAGTGCAGGATTGTTCCTGATGTTCTATGTTCCTATGTAGGCTTTAGTACTGCATCACAGAGTTCATTTATCCACACAGGCATTTGGGGAAGCCCTTTCGGGGGTTACCGTATACTACAGCATGTTTGTTGATATGAGCTAACTATTATTGTGCTCTGTTTGACAATTGACACAAATTTGTTGATTTAACAATAATTGTACTGTTATTGCAATTTTAAATCAAAAACAATACTGTAAACACAAATCGAAATGAAATAGATATTTAAAATTGCATTTTATTTATTTATAAGCACACAGGGGCAAATGCACTAAACCTACCAAATAGAGGAGAATAATTATCCATAACAACAATTTCACTGCGCTGGGTGAACAGGAGGAGAATGATCCTTCTCTCATAAAAACAAACTAAAATAGATTGATAGATCAAATTTAGTGTCTCGCTGAATGCATTTTCAATTGGATGGAGAGCATAAGCCCTTCAAATTCTGATGAGTGTATGGAGAAAGAGAAAAAAAATTCTAAAGGTCAACTCAGCCTCATGTGCTCTACACTGATGAATGAGCTCATTTAAGAACCATGAACAATGGCAGTCCCATATGTTTTTCTTTGCAACTGCAGAAAGGAAGCATAATGCTAATCCAAGTGTGACCCTTGAAATGAAACTCAAACAGACGTACTTTTAAACTGAGGAGCAGTGCGTAGTTGTGCAGGGTTCACAAACTGTTGGATGAAAACGTAAAGGACCACAAGCACTAGAAGCAGGATGCCAAGGACTGCCGAGACCACAGTGTAAAAGAAAAACCTGAGGAAAGAAAAACATTTTAGACGTGGGTAAATTCGGCACAGTCTCACAACTGGTTTCCCATTCACAATTCGACTTTGCAGCAGATAATAATAATGCTTGCATTTGATGTAGCAACTTACCACATTGTCAAGACATCTTAAAGAGCTTCACAGGATATATTGTAAAGCGAAGTGACTTGTGTATTTTCTGGGTAAAGTGCAGCATCCAATTTTTGTATAGCAATGTCCCACAAACAGCCACAAAGTGAATGAACAATTTTATTTGGGGGATTGTTGGCCAAAACACCAGGAGAAACTCCCTTCTCTTTTCGAATACTGTTGTACCATGGAGTCTTTAATGTCCATCTCGGTTTAACATCTCATCCAAAGAACGGCACTTCCAACAATGCAATACACCCCCAGCATTGGAATGTCAGCTTAGACACTGTAATTTCAAGTCCTGACGTGGGGTTTGAACCCACAACCTGGTGACTCAGAGGCGAGAGTGCTATCACTAAACCAGGCTGACACACAGATACGGTGAGATGACAGAAATTTGTTTTTGCAGGAATTCAAGATAAAATGCAGCTCAACACCAATGTTCTCTAATGCCTAGTCTTGGTTTCCCTTTTTAATCAGTTTCCTCTCTAGTTGTGCAAGAACTGTGTTTGACATAACATGTTGGTGAACTGTTCCCAAGCTCCCCAGTGCTGTCCATCAATACTTGCTGGAATTTTTATGGCTGATACCTCACCTACCAAAGGTGAGATGGAATAGGTGGAAGACATGAAGCAGACCAAACAGAGGTAATGAAGCAGGCCAGTGTTTGCCAAGCAAAGGCAGTAGGGCTTCGGGAGATCACAGAGGTAGGTTGGAAAGATTTGAACATTAGGACAGGAATCTTGAATTCTATCTGTTGGGTGATGGGAGCCAGTGGCGAGCGAGTGATAAGCTCACAGAGAAAGGACTTGGACTGCATTTCTTAATAGTCTGCAACTTGTCTTGAGAGGAGATGGGGGTTCAGTGAGCATGCATTCGAATAGTCAAGCCTGGACGTGATGAAGGTGAGTATAACGGTCTTAGTGGATGTGAGCGATGTTGCAGAGATGGGAGAAAGCTGACCGAGTGAGGTTCTGGATGTATGGGCTATAAGGACATTTGAGCATAGAACAAGACACCGAGATTTTGGAGTGGCTTTGTGAGTTGAAGTGTGCATCTATATAGATTGATGTGGTCGGCACCTGGATTAAGAAGGTGCTTTCCCAAGCCAAACAGGAGAGCCTCGGTCTTGCTGACATTTAGCTGGAGGACTTGATGTCTGACAGGCAGTTGCTCAAAACAGCAGCGGTCCTGGAATCGAGGGGTAGAGGCAGAAAGATAGAGATCCACCAAATCAGCATAAAATCTCCACGTGTTTAAACACTTTGCTGGGCCTTAAACAGGAGGGCAGGATCTGGGCGGTGATTGGCTATCGAAGCTGTCACTCACTTGGATGTTGGTAAGTATCGGAAACCATTCATGGGGGCACTCGGGAAATTTCCCTATTTCCCATTAAGACAATCCGTTCCTGGTTACAGTAAATCCACGCAAAGGCAGTTTGGGTTTGTACGTAGCAGAATGCAAGGCTAGACTGGATTACATTCATTTGGAATTGCTCTTTACAATAATAAAAAGTAACAATAATGATCATCCTTGCATTTGATACAACCCCTTTCGTGATGGGTGGGGGGGGGGGGGGCAGGTGGGGGGGGGCATCTCAAAGTGCTTCGCCGGATTTACTGGAACAGTGCAGTGAACATGTGGTTTTCTTGTAGAAAGAAAAGATCTCCCTCTCTACTCGGTTACTGATGTGATCGTCGATATTTTCTCCTTCCAGACTCTTCAGCAGCACTGACGAGCCCTACTCATGGTTACCAGGTTACTGTGCCAGAACAGCTCCTATGGGAACCAGTTATGGCTAAATCAGTAACAGTGCACAACAGGAGCAAAATCACAACACAAGGGGAAAAAGAAGCTTACTGGAAAGATAATCCAGATTAGTCTCAGGGCAAAATTAGTTAAGTAGCTTCTGGGCACATATTATGAATATAATCATTAAATGCAGTAGCCTTCCACTAAAGATTCTCGGATGTTCTATTATTCCCAGTAGAACACTCACTGCTTCCCTCGCCCTTCCCTGCCCTCCAGTCCTGAACTTGTCTGACCTCTTGATTTTCCTTCTAGTGGGATACAGCTCTGTAAGTGTCGGGCATCTTCCAGTAACTGGCGCAAGTGGCCATTATTTATTTATGGTCACCCGGGTGTCTTGATACAGGCAGGAACCCAACACTATGCTTAAGAGAATCCAAATCAGACAGAGTTCCATGTATGTCACCTACACATTGGAAATTCCAGTGTCTGGAATGGAATGCGCACTCTCTCCCTAGAGGGATGCACCCTTCTTACCTAAATCCAGAAGCACAGGTTGACAAGAGCCAAGGTTTAGGGATACCAGAGGATACATTGAGTTACTGCTGGAGCCTAACCAGCTAAAACTGCATAGCTTGCATTGAGAGCACATTCTGGCAAGCTTCCCACTGCTCATCCAGCCAGGATCACTTTACCCATTAGGGTTTTGATTTGCAGGGTTAACAGGAACATAGTGCCCTGCACACAGGATAGAGTCTCGGAGCTCTGTGATAAATGTACTAAACCATTGGGAGACTCAAATATGCATTGCATTCCTTCGTTACTGCAAAGCCATATAAATCCCAATAGTATTCTTTATGATGTGCTTTTCATCCTTCTCCAAAGGCTGTGATACAGAGTGCATCTACGGCTCTTACTGTAGTGCTACAAACAATATCTAATAGAAAGGGCAAATATATCACTAAATTAGGCTCTTGTAGAGATCCTTTGTGGAACAGAGCTCCTGGTGATGTTTGAGGAAGGAGAAGAGAAATAGGATTACAACAACCACAAAATTACATTTGTATAATAATAATCCTTGCATTTGATATAGCGCTTTTCACGTCGGGAGGACGTCCCAAAGCGCTTCACAGAACACACTGTAAAGTGAATTGACTGTATATTTGTGGGCGAACGCGGCAGCCAATTGCGCACAGCAATGTCCCACAAACAGTCATAGATTGAAAATGACCAATTTATTATTGTTTTGTTTTGGAGGGATTATTATTAGGGGTGTGGAGTAAGGAAACTTGCCCAAGGTTTCGCCCTGCCTGGAATTGAACTCAGGTCTCTCGCTTGCAAAGCGAGTGCTCTAACCACTGAGCTACAGGACTCCACTTAGCGTATAGCGCCTTTCACGTCCAGAGGACGTCCCAAATTGCTCATTAGCGTAGATAGCGCCAGTGGGGGAGCTAGTTAGACATAATGGGCTGAATTGGCTTCCTGAGTTGTTCTATGATCCTATGACACAAGACAAATGATCATGCCCTTTTATTACTTCCTCAGTAGGACACAGCAGATCACCTTTTCTAGATAGGTAATTTACATGCTTTCTTTAGGCTGCTTATTTGTCTGTCTTTCCATCCGCTGTAGGTTTGTTTCAGGGATTCTGAGCTCATGGTCTGGAAAGACATTCCAATGCAGTGTTGTGGGAGAGTGGTATTGTCAGAGCAGCCGTCCTTTGGATAAGTCATTAATCTGAGATCTTTTTGCCTGTTCAGCTGAACACTAATAAACCCATGATATTATTGCTGATATATGTGTTCTAAAACACTTGTGGGTCTGTAAACCAATAGATACAGTGATTTAATGGTTTCAAGCTAACCTCATGAAAAAAAATCCTTGGTATTGATATCGCACCTTATCATGTCAAATGTTTTAGAACACACAAATCTGAACAAACAGCATCAGAAACTGCAACATATTGACGGGTAATAAAAGTACCCCCCAGAAAATTTGAGTACCTCTCGAAAATAAAACAGAACATCATTCCAACAGATTCTGACAGTGGCTGTAACATTCCTAGGAATTAGGGACACTTTTTCAACAACAACAACATCATCTTGCATTTATATAGTGCCCCTCACATAGGGTAGCCCTCCAGTCTGCTTTTTTAGCACAAAAGAGGAATATCATTTAGGACCAAATGGGTTGCTCAAGCTTAGAAATACTGGACAAGAAAAATGCGGTCAGACTGCAAAAACAGAACAGGAAAGAAGCTTTAAAAAGAACCCTGCCTGGGTGAGTAACGTCACATAAAACCTGCAGTGAATCCATAACAATGTCCGAATTTTACTCATTAGCTTCTGTTGTTTTCAATGGGAATAGGAATTGTTTCACCTGCTGCCTCCAGGATCCGAAATGATATAATCCTTAATGTGCTATTAATGAAATGTTTAATAATAATCCTTGCATTTGACATAGTGACTTATCACATCCTTGAAAACGTCTCAAACACCTTTACAGGATTCCATGTGAAGTATAGTGACTGCATATTTGTTAGTGATCTACACCAATGATTTACAAACAATCGTTATGTTATAAATAGGTCAAAATTTCACATCAGGTGAGTATTCAGTTCATCTTGCTGGGTTCACAACAAGCAAGGCCTGAAAATAAAACAGGGACTTTGGCAGGTGAGACCTCAAAGCCTGCATGATTCTTGACATATTTTAACAGCAATTTTGTATCTCAGATTGGGTCCTTTCAGTGCACTTTTCAGAAATTATACAAATTGACATCCTGTAAAGCGACAGCTGAAAGCATTGCTATTTGGGATCTCAAGATTTTTTGTTGACTTCAGCTATTATTCAGAAGTCAGGGAAGGAGGGAATTTCCAAACACATTTCGTCATTGTCCTTTAAATCAGGAATGAATGTGTTTAGGAATACCACAATCTTGACCCCAATGATTCCACCGCAGCTGCTCCAAGTGCTATTCACAGCTAAGTGCCAGATAGTGCTGGTGCCATACACATTGCAATCTTACTTTGAGCTGACACATATTGGCAAAGAACCCGCCACCAAGGTGTAGCTTAAGATAATTCCGAAAAGATTATTTTACTATATTTTTAACTGCAAAAATATAATGAAAATTAAAACACTTTTGCATGAAATCCCTACCACATCCCAACTTCCTCATCTGCTTTGTGCCACACAAAATTGATTAAAAAAAACACCCTGGATTCACAACAAGTCAATGCTTATGTGCCACTCAACTCACCAGTAGTTCCTTGCTCCCACACAATTATTCAGCCACTTGCAGTGATGATCAAATTCAGAAACGCACTTGTTACAGGAACTGCAATGTTTGGCTTTTGATCCCCTAGAAAAGCAAACGATTCTTTCAGACATTTGTTGGTATGACCTTAGCGCTACTGTCCTCTGCTTAATAGATTTCACAAATGTGTTCTCTCTTCAAATCATCAACAACAATCCTTACATTAGTGGCAGCATCTTTCACATCAGGAGAGCATCCCAAAGTGCTTTACAGGACATACTGTAAAGTGTTTTGGGACACTCGTGTGTGTTTTCCGTTAATGACTGTGTGTTTTCCATCAGTAGCACAATATTCAAGCTGTAAGTGACTGAGCTCGGTGATCATAGTCTTTATAAAGGACTACAAAATGTGAAAGGTGCTTGTAAAAAGGTGCTCGATAAGTTCATATCCGTGCATTGAATACTGCATTTGAATCACTGATGAGCGTACAATGCCAAATCTTGCCACATTAGGAGTTAGTTAACTTCAACGAATGTGAAACATAGAGCACACTGAGCAATGAATAACTTCCAACACATCTGAGATACCTTGGGAGGGACACAACTTATACCAAAGAACACAAATTGAAATGATTTATCGAGATCAAATCGACAACAAGCCAAAAAAGAATACAGGTTTTGCTAATTGTTGTCATTAAGGTGAGTATAATATCCCTCCTCCTCCAAAATATGCATAGTCCATTAGTGCTCAACATTCAGAGAACCGGTTAAAATCGAACACCTAGAATTAATTCTGTGAATACAAATATGGCAATACATACACATCCACCTCACACAGGTAGCAGTGTAGATTCTGAATGACATGAGGATGCTTAGTCCGATCAAACATTGGCATGGGAGTGTTGTAATTCTTTTTGGCACGCACACTGTTGTCAGCAGGGTCAATGGAAACAGCAACCAAGTGAACGACAAAGTGAAAGACAAATATCAGGCCAATTATCTAGATATGTTAAGAGTTAAGGAACAGAATCAGAGATAGATTGACAGTAAGGGGAAGACAATGAAAACTGTTTTAAGCACATTGCTCAAAATAATTATTTAGAGGCAAATTAGGAGAATAGGTTTAAACGTTTTTTAGTAAATGAATGGAAGATGGAAAAATATATACTGCACGATATCTCTCTGGTGATAAAGGGATCTTTTATATAATAATCTTTTGTCGTTCTCAAATTTCCCATTTAAAGTAATAAAATGATTGCTTTTTCAATTGGAATAACAAGCCTGTGCTTCAATTCCTTGCCTACTAGCACTAACAAAATTTGACAAATGCAGCTTTTTGACCATAGTGTTTTCTTTTTAACTATTTTTGCTTTGAAGAAAGGTTTACACATTAATTTGCCAGTTAAAGTGTAGTTATTAATGTGCAGATAGCTGTTGTAAGAAAACAGAAGTACATTATCTCTATCCTGTTCAATGGCAAACAGGAAATACTAGGTGGACAGCAAAACAGACAAATGATTGTTTCTCTTCCTTCTGGCTCCCTTACATCTTCACAACTGTTTATTTTACTATTTTTTTCAGCCGAAAAAAATTACCTTTCAGGTTTTTAAGTCTTCCTCTTCAGTCGTCAATCACTAAGCCATCTCTCATCCAAATACACACATCTTCTCTGCTCAGTCTTTGGCCCTTTCTGCCCCATCCCCCTGCAAAGCTCCCAATCTCCTAACAATCTACAAATGTGCAATGCTTATTCTCAGTTTAACTCAGCGCAATTCTTATCTAAACTCTCCCTCACTCTCCTTTAATTAATTCTTAGAATGATTTTTAAGGTCCTTCAATATACCAAATATCTACAGACGAAACTGCCTCTGTTCTGGCTCGTGAATCTTGTAAACCCAGTAAAGATCTTGTTCAAAGCTTCTGTTTAAACTTGCTTGCATAGTTGCAATATAAGACAATGCAAGACAATATAAATCAAATGAATGACCTGCTGGATTATTTTCTATCGCTATTAACAACCTTTGTATGAAAAAGTGATGACATTTGCTTAGTGAGCGAAGATGGATTGTTGAACAAAGAGCTTCAGACCCTATTTTCAAAATCCATCAATGCTTTTCATTGGATATTTTATAACCTCACTACTATTGTCAGAGTTGTTGCTGTGTCTTCCTCTCGACCCCTCCTCTCCCAACCAGCTTCAGGACAGTATTAGCAACTGAGGAAAACCTCCATGCTAAAAGCTGACTTGCAATTAACATTTAAACACAGTCATGATACTGAATTCAGTCAGTATGTTGTGAAGGTACATTAAATGCTGCCTCGGTAATGACTGGTGACAATTAACAGAAACAAATTAGCAGGATTTCATAATAATAATTCTTGCATTTGATTCTTGCCTTATCACATCGACAGAACATCTGAAAGGGTTTCGCAGGATTGTTAGTGGGCAGTGTACTGACTGTGTACTTTGTAGGTGATAATGGGTTGAATTCACTATAAAATGCCACAAATGTCACCCCATCTTCTTTTATCCAGAGAAAATGAAACTCAAGGTAATTAGTGGAAAAGATATTGGTGCAACAAACACGCACGATAAGTTGACTCAATCACATTCTGTAAAGGATACAGCATAACCCACGTATTTCCAATTGTATGGCAACAACGGTATGTAAATTCCAAAGCCGACTGTAGCTAGGTACACGTACAGCACCCAGGCGATCAACTGGAATGAGTGAAGAGGCAATGTCCAGCCATTAACCCGTGAGCGAGCTGGAGGAGCAACTAGATCATTTCTGCTGTTCTCCCGTTCAGGCCCTGTCTTCCGCAATCTCCTGTCATAACAATTCATCTGAGGAAAGGGAAAGAAACAAAAGGACACCATTAACCTTTTTTGTAATCCTCAAGATAATTCATTTTCCACATTGTATTAACTGCCGCGTTCATTCATAAATTCACCAGGTGGCTGTGCGTTTAAACAATAAGGTGCAGGTGAAATTCCCGTAATGGAATTGATGTCAAAATCTGGGAACTTCATCTGGATTTAAGTTTTCTGCATTAAGATTTGGACGTTCTTGCCAGCATTTCTAAATCTCCTTTCGATTTCCAGAAGAGTTAGTTTTTGAAGTGGTCTGAATGGAAATTCAGAATGGAAATGGTCACTCCTGGACCCATCTGTTTAATTCCTCTAGATCTTTTTCACTGCTGTTCGACTGACCTTGGATTATTCACCTGATCAGGTCACTTGGTATCATCAGAAAATTGTATAATTATTAGAAACTATCTTCTTCAAGTTATTATGAATTGTGTGAACAGCAGGCATCCACAGCAGAGCCATGTGCAACAGCACCCTTCACTGCCACCCCACAATGTTTTATAATTTATGATCTGCTTCCATCACGTTTAACCCCCACTTCGTATCTGAAGGAGGTATAAGAGACATTTGCAGACCAGTGTAGGATGTGTCTAAAGGTGACACTCTGTGAGTCATGTATGTGGGATTATCACAGAAACGGAAAATGTCTTCATTTTAAAGCAGTTGTCTCGAGTCTTACAATCGGAAAGTTCTCTTATGACAGTTCATTCATGCTGCAGTTTCACTTTTTGCAGTCTACAGCGTAGGAGGCTTTGTGAGTTACTGCATTGGGAGACGCACTAAGCTCCCAATCATCATGGGAACTGTAGTTTGTGTAGAAATGGAAGGAGGCCTTAAAGGTGTGTGGGGGTAACAATTGTAAATGAAAGCTACGTTTTTGGGTGACAGATAGGTTGATAACATTGGATATCTAACTTCAAAGATAAAATACTTAGTTCAGATATAAATCTCAAACAGTGTCATTTTCAAATGAATGTTAATAACTGCAGACAAACCAGATATAAAGCCACAAGGCACAACTCCATACAGCAGACTATGGAATAGCTAAGCGCATAAGGAGTACGTGGATTGAATGCCACACTGCGTGGGTGATGGATGCAAAGCTAAACAATACAAACATCATACTGATTGTCTGCATAATCATGTCTATTTGACTTCCATAATGAATAATTTTCCTTGTGATATTTTAGTTTAGCTTCACAGCCTCAGACTAACATGTGTACAGTTTTTTCCTTGTGGGGTCAAGTGGATGAGAACAATTTGCATTTATTCATACATTGTCCTTCATGTGGGGTAGCGTCTCAGAGGGCTTAACAACGATGTAGTTTGATGAACTTCATCAAGGTTTAATTATCTTATTATTTTACATTTATTCCTAGACAGGCAATTTCCTTCACAATGAGGTAATAATTTAGAGATAAGATCATCATGTAAAACATTAGGGCTGGAGCCAGTATGTAAATGTACAAAAATGATCAAACCTCACTTATTTCTCACTTACTCTTTGGAACTCCATCCCACAATCCCTTCACCTTGCTCCCCCCTCTCTTGCCTCCTTCAAGGCACGACTCAAGACCCTCATTTTTGACTGTGCCTTTGGCCACCCTACTAGCCCCTCTGCCCTCCCTCATCCCAACCCCCCACGCTCGGGTCCTGACCCCTGACTGTTCAGCGCCTTGGGACGTCCTCCCGATGTGAAAGGCACTGTACAAATGTAATTTTGTTGTTGGTGGTGTTGTGAACCCCACTTAGATTGTGATGTTAAGCAACAATAGGGTAAAGTTTCTTGTGTTAAATGACACAAGGAACAGATTATGAAACACCACAAACTTCACCTACTAGGGGGTCAAAATTCTGTAAAGCGTTATCCAAGATTATAATGGGAAATCCCATCATAGCTAACATAACCAAAGTTGACACTCATTGAAAGCTTCGCCCAACATCTCACATAAAAGCACAGATCTATTTTTTTCAATGGGTATTGCGATTAATTTCACTCTCTGAAATGGTCCCATCCCAGTGATTTATATTACTTTGTGCTTGTAAACAAAAATGAATATTTAACAATTGTAGTAAATAATTGGGTGAAATCTGTAAAAGTCACTGCCAAGCAAGCCAACAAACAAATATTATCCAGAATAAAGGAGAGATTCTGCATTCCCTTCCAATATAGGAACATTTCCATGCGTAGGTCACATACATATGTGGAAATCTGTCTGGTTTGGTTATGATTAAGCATGGTGATGAGTTTTTGCATGTGTTAGACACCGGACTAACTCCCCAAAAAGATGAGCATCAATCTGGCTCAGTTTGTAGCACTCTTGCCTCTGAGTCAGAAGGTTGTGCTTCAAGCCTCATGCTAAGACTTTGAACTCAATCTCGTTTGGACTCCAGTGCAATGCTAGTGGAGTATTGCATTGTCAGAGCTGCCATCTTTTGGATAAGATGTTAACCTGAGGTGCTGTCTGCCTGCTCAGGTGGATATTAAAGATCCCATGGCACTATTCAAAAAGAGAAGAGTACTGGTCAACAATCCCAAATAAAATTCATCATTCACTTCATGGCTATTTGTCGGACATTACTGTGTGTACATTGGCTGCTGAGTTTGCTGACAAATACAGTCACTACAATTTACAGTAAAATCCGGTGAGGCACTTTGAGACACTTTGATGACGTGATAAGATACTATATGCAAGGATTATTGTTATTTGTAAATTAGTAAAGAAAAATAGATAAACAGAAAAAAAATTGGAGATTAAAAGAAAAGACGCAGGAAATTGTAAAATACAAGTGAGAATGCAGGAAAGACCCATCTGATCAATCAGAATACTCTTAAGCATGGCGATGGGTTTCCGCATGTGTCAGACACCTGGCTGACCAAAAAAAAACCACCCAAATGAGAAAGATTGGCCAATGCTTTGGCAGGGGTCCCTTCATTATGAATCAGTTGATCTAATTGAAACCGTCTAGCAACATTATCTACTGTACACGGAACATGTTCAAACCTGTCATGTTCTAACAAGTCATGGAAGATGTCAATTAACATTGCTGGTTATTAACGTGGCTGAAACATCAAAAACAATTCCTTATTTTCTGAAATCATTCTTTAGAGCAAAAGCCTCCAATTCATTTTATTATAATGACTGTTATTAAGATAGTTCAATGAAATAATGATTCTCTACTGAATTACAGGGTAGTGAAATATACAGCTGGAAGCTGTGGTTGAAGCAAATAGCATCAATGTACGAGGAAAACCTGGTGCATATGTGAGGGCGAAGGAAACAAAGAAAAGGACAGGGGAATAAGAGGGGTGGGAGCTTGTGTGGAGTATAAACACTGGCACGCACTGGTTGGGCTGAATAGCTTGTTTCTTTGCCTTATAACTCTGTAATTTCTATGTCATATAGTAGTATTGGAGTGACATGCATAACAATCACAAGGTATCACAAGCCATCACTACTCTACAACCTGCCTTGAAAGAAAGAAGTATAAACATCAAATGAACACCAGCTTGTCTCGCAGTGATCATTATGGGAGAATAAACCTCATTCTCATATTGGCTGATGCAAGTTTCTTAAATTGCTTTGAAAGGCAGTACCAATGTAATCAACTGCTTGAACAAAACATTTTTTTAAAAAAAATTGGATGCAAATAACTATTGTAAAATATGTTTCAGTTGCAGGCCACTTCAATATGCAAGAAATAATGTACTGTTTGTGAACAAAATTAGACTTGGTACAGTCATTCTGAATTTTGTTCGCATTCTAAAGCAAATGTACATACATTCTGCTCTCCACACTACTCTTTTCTCCTTACACTGTATATAAATATTTATACTGAGTATTTTTGGCACTAATACAACACAAATGTACCTTGATATAGCGGGACACAGATGAATCTATAGCGAACAACAGCGTGTGGCAACGGTAACACCATGACCAGGGAACCTGCAAACTTGATTGAATATTTGTTTGAATGGAGACTGAATGTTTGTAAGAATGTTGCCCTCATATTTGCATGGTATTCTTTTGGAATCAGTTAAAGGATGTTGTTTCCCTACTTTCAGCCATCTACTGCCCTGGTCAAGGTGCCAAAGACATCCTGTCCATCTGTGACCAGGGCTCCCTCTGCCTCCTCGTCCTCCTTGACCTGTCTGCTGCCTTCAAGCTTTCCATCCTCCTCCACCGCCTCTCCTCTCACCTTAACCTTCAACATTCTGTCCCTCAATGGTTCAGGTCTTATCTCTCACACCATCTCCAATTTGTTTCTGCCAACGGTTTCTCTTCCAGCCCCCGCACAATCTCGTGCGGTGTTCTTCTGGGCTCTATCATTGGTCGCCTCCTCTTCAACCTCTACATGCTCCCCCTTGCTGACATCATACGCAAACATGGGGTCAACCTCCACATGTACACAGATGACACCCATCTCTCTGCCTCCACCCTCGATTCCAGAACAAACTGACATTCTGACAGGCTGTCTGTCAGACATCAAGTTATGGATGAGAGCCAACTTTCTACAGCTGAATGTCAGCAAGACTGAGGCTGTCTCGCACCAGCACCTCCGCATCTCAGGCACTGGTAGCATCAGCATCCACGGTTGCCCACTCCACCTCACCAAGCCAGTCAGGAACCTGGGCATCTTGTTTGACCCTCAACTGTCCTTTCTCCCCCATATCCATGCCATGACCCGCTCTGCCTTCCCCCACCTCCGCAACATTGCCAGACTCCGCTACTGCCTCACCCCTCAGACCGCCGAAACCTCCGTACATGCATTCGTCAGCTCAAGGCTCGACTACGGAAACTCCCTCCTTGTCGGCCTCCCCAACTCTTCCCTCCACAAGCTGCAGATCATCCAGAACTCTGCAGCTTGTGTCCTCTCCCGCACCAGGCTCCGTGACCCCATCACGCCCACCCTCGCCTGGTTCCATTGGCTCGCCATCCCTCAGAACATGGAATTCAAAATCCTCATCCTCACTT